TCCCTACCAAACACACTCTAATTATGACTGATTGAAAATTGAGTTTATGAAACCTTTTTGAGTAGATTTATTTAATTTCACTTATTATTTGATGCCACATTAACGCCATATAAATTGTGTTTGTAACCCAATGGAGATGAATAGCATTACTCAACCTTTTTTTACTTAAATGAGTTTTTATTGCATTTATATCGTATACAATGCCATAAAATCGTTACGAAAGTGATATAAAGGAGAATCGTTTACACATTTTTCCGAAATGCATGTACACATAGAAGCATTTCTGCTTATACGATACAAAGTTATATTTTCGATTCATGTGTTTAAATTCTCATATCTTAATTTGGTCTGCACTACTTGAAGTTCATTTTCCTTCTTTTTTTTTCCGAGTTAAGATCTGTTATCCCCATTTAACTATCTTCTTAATGAATTGTTCATATCTCATAGATCAAGCACTGAAATGACATATTTGTTAAGAAGATTCAATGCAATCAAATGTCAACAACTTAATAGGCAAATCGGGAAATAATCAAATAAGGATAACAAATCTCAATTCCATTTTTTTAATAGTAAAGTGTTTAATTGCTTGTCCAAGGGATTTCGAAGAATCTTTATAGATAGACATATTTGAATTGAATCTAAAAAAGGGAAGAAAAGTTATTAAATAGAATCTTTACATACTTTTTTCGCTTTATCAAGTTATATCCCGAGAGCATATTTCCATACATACAAAAATGTACCATTAGAAAGAATTCTAACTAAATTAAAATCTAGAGAACATATAGCCGACAATTGATTAGATTTAAAATTTGTTTGAAATTTAAAAGTCAACGATTAATTTCCATCACTTATTTCATTATGTTCACGACTTTTCAATCACATGTTTTATCCACTTTTATTAAAATTTACTAAAATTGTGATTTTTAACTACACCGAACATGGACTTAATTTCAATTTTTATGAACATAAAATATAAAATGAATCCTGAAATTTTTTTTTATTGAAGTCTATTATCTCATCTCTGATTAAAAAGTTTGATTATTCGTATTCTATCAACAGTCAAGAGTTATGCTACAATGAAAGGTGTTGACCTCGAAAAATGGC